CTGTGTCAAAACTCCATGCCCAGGGACACCAACTGCGCGTTGGGTCGAGGTGGGACTTGTCGATTTACTCACAAGCCCAACTGGTGAAGTAAATCCTGTGTTAGCCTGACGCGTTTGGCTATTAACCCCTTGCCCTGGTTGCTGGTAACCAGTAGTCTGGGTATGGATTAAGGTGTACCGACATCTGGTGAAGCAGCAGCACTACCTGTTTCATCACTCTGGGGGGGGGGGGGGCACCCAAAATTTGAATACTTGGCCCAGCTGGGCGATTCGAAGGAGATGGCAACTCGCTGGGTGCATCGGTATGTGCAGGTAGGCTTCGCTTAAGTCTAGCGGGGCTAGCCAGTCAAAACGGTGGATGGAGAGATGAACCCTGAATGTCTCCATGTGGAACCGATCGAGGAACACATACTGATTCAGTCTGCCTAGGTCCAGAACTGGATGCCTGCCACTTCTAGATTTGGTACTACGAACACATTTGAGTAGAACCCTGGACTTAGTTCCGGCTGATGTACCTTGTGTATGCCGTTCTTCCCAGCAAACTGCTACTTCCTGTCTGATTGAGTCCCCTGGCAGTGCCCAACAGGGGAGACACTGACGGGGGGAAATGGAGATTTCAGCGGTATCCCGTAACAGGATGTCACCACCTGGAAAGGTCCAGGGATCGGTCACCCGCTGTCTCCAAACCGGACTACACCGGCGCAATCTGTACGACAGGAATATGTGGCCATGTGTTTGGAGGTTGCGAGGGGGGGGGTGTGCTCCCCTCCCCATGAGGTGAGTTCCCCAAGGCCTGAAGAAGTTACTAAGTTGTGACCTGGCCACTCACCGAACTTGTGTCACTGTTGTACCGTGACCGCATGACGAACCCTAGCTGGCTGAAAGTGGGGGGTCAACGTGTGCCCCACCCTGAAAGCCCTGCCCCGAGATCCGAGGCTTGGCTGCCAGCACCCCATTGGCATTCAGTGCCCGAGGCTCCAGAGGAGGCCCGGTGCAATTAGCCTGAGCCTCGGCCTCCCCTCCCAAAATAGTGGGAGAGCCGTGACTGGGAACGGGGGTGACTGGGAAGAGACGTGTTTGAATGCAAACATGCTTTCGTGTCTCTTCCTGCTTGCCCACCGAGGGGACACAGTGGAGACAGCTCGCTCCGACTGCGTCTGATCTACCCGCCCTGCCAGGGACGCAATTGCCCCGACAGTCCTTCGACCAAAGCCCTCAACTCGAAGGCAAACCCAGCACTGTGTGAGGAAGGGTCCACAAAAAGACCCGCAACGGGCCCCACAGGAGGGAAGCTTCCAGGGGCACAGCCTCGCTGCAGCCGGTAAAATCGGGTAAAAACACCGCCTGAAAAAACAGACTGTGAGGATGCCCTCCGATCAGCAGGGGAGACCGAGAAAAATATCGGTACCTCCACCGTCGGGCCTCTTACTCGACGTCCCGGTACACAAAGTACCTGTAGTCGAGCATGAGAACTTTCCACTCATGCAAAACATGCAACTCACTTTAACCGATTTGTTTACTGGACGCGCGACCTTGCTGTGACGCGGTCAGTCTTGATTTTGATGGCTCTGAAAGAAAATCTCAGGCCTCAGAACTCCAGTGAAAAAACAGACACCTTCACGCAATAACCCCGAACCCCACACGTAGTATCTCGACAAAGTATCTCGGATGCGGGTTCTATGCTGGTAAATTCTGAATATAACCACTGCACGGTCTACTCGAAACGAGAGGAGACCCGAAAGAAAACGGCAGCGAGCCCTGGTGCTGTCATGACATCTATATATTGCTAAATACATTGTAAATAAAAGACGACATGAATGAGGGAAAAAAACAAAATACAGTTGTAAAAGGTGCCGCCGCGAAACCAACCATTGGTTACGTAGAGGCGCCGGGTTTTAATTTCTTTGTTGTGAAAAATACTACACAAAAATGACAAGGAAAACTTATCCTACCAGCTACAATGTCGGATGCCGGGCAGCGGCAACAACCCAAGCTATAAATCCGGACAGGAAAAAAAAAAGCAGGCGATCCAGCAGAGCTCGCTAGATTTCATCTCCACTCAAGGCGGAGGGAAAATCAGAGTGATGGACGGCTACCTGTGGCGCTGCCAGGTGGCCTCGGTCACGTGGGTTCGTGACGTAAGGGGTAAAAGAATCTTGACCTGGATTCTATCTCTCCGTCACCGACAGAATCGCTGATTAACGCCTAGACTTCAAAATAGTCATTTTGACTGACCGGAGTCTATGGTTGGGTAATTGAACGTAGTGAATTGAGTCAGTTTTGATTAATTGTTTGAATTGTCAAAAAATACACCATGCAATACTATTAGTTATTTCCACTATGATTATCAACCTTTTCACCACCAGTTCCCTCTTTTCATCACAAATTCACAAATTAGTCCAATTCATATTCTACACTTTTTCTTCAGAAGATTGGAACAAAAATAGCCAAATTATTTGAGTAAAAACTGAAAATTGATTCAAATTTTGTCTGTTCATTTTTTTTAGAAATATTGAAGAATAAAGGAAAAAAGTGTAAAAACAATTTGGCGAGAAAGTCTGGTAGTGAAAAGGTTGAATACATGTAGACACAGTCCTCATTGGTTGAATACATGTAGACACAGTCCTCATTGGTTGAATACATGTAGACACAGTCCTCATTGGTTGAATACATGTAGACACAGTCCTCATTGGTTGAATACATGTAGACACAGTCCTCACTGTGCCATTATTACAGCGCAAATATTTCCCACCCAAGCTTCACATTTTTTGTATTTATTAAGTTGTTTTTTTCCAATATTTACCAGTGATCAGCAAGCAACAGAAGAATGTTGTTGTTGGAGTACTGAGATGAGATCATTTACTTTATTGCTCAGAATGCTGTCAAACACTCAATTTTACTTTTTTTATCCATATTTTTATCCATAACACTGAGTGGACATACCTTAGCTTTGTGTACATGTTGTAACCATACTCTGGATTGGCCAACACCAGTCACTTGTAATGTATACACCCACATAGCTAGCTTATGGTCATCTAAATACACTAGTAGAAAACCACCTAAATAATAAACATAGTTAAACTAAGTAAACCTTGCTGCAGTATCTGGAGATATATAAAGTGGAGTAACAATTAAAGATTCCATTCTATTATACTG